GCTGGAAGTAGAAATCCCTCCTGAGTGTTCAGCCCCTGGGGGTCTGCCAAGTGACATCTGGCAAGAACTGCCCCATTTACAAACAGGACCATGGCATTGCCCAAACTTAGCAAGCTGCTGGGAGTCCCTTCCCCGGGCCTACGGGCAGCATCTCTACACCGCCCCAGCACCAAGCTGACCAAGGAACTGGACCTCGAGCAGCTGTCGTGCGTGGACCAGGTACGTACGGAAAGGCACGTGTGCAAAACACGCTCGGGTACACGGCTCAGAGCTCACCAGCTCTCCCGCTCACCTTCTCCTTCAGAGCTCCCTGCATTTTAATCTAGTTGTGAAACCGGGTGGATGGTCACCATTTAGGCACTTACGCAAGGCAGAAAGCGCTGTATTTGTTTCAGAAAGTACACCAAGCTGGTAATTTAGGAGTTAATTTGCAATGGGGCCAGCGGATGGCATTGGGCTCCCATGGTTATGTCAACTACGGTTTGAGTTCTGGACCTGGTGGCTTAAAACTCATGCCAGATGCGTGCGTGTGTACGTGTGTGCACGCCCAAAATCCCGATGAGAATGGAGGGGAAGGGATTGTGGCATGGCTGTCCCCTCTGGGGACAGATTGCTTGCTTTCTGTCTCTCTGCCTCTCTGTGTCTCTCCGGTGAATGCATGTGTCCTATCGGGAAAATCTCTTAGAAAAAGTTAATTTGCATGTAAAAATTGTTCTAGCTCTTTGCATCAGAAACCTGCTAATTGAGTCATAGATTCAGAACCTATTTTTGGCAGATTACTATTATTAGCATTAGTTAAAATTCTGATCCTAACAGGTGACGATTCTCAGTCTTTGCTGAGATGGTAAATAAGCCTTGACCAATCAGTTTCTTCATCCAAAGTCTCTAGAGTTATATTAAATAACCAGCCAATTCCCAGGTCTCCGGAGGATGAGGCAGGAGGTCCTCTAACAGAATGGTGGCATTTCTACTTGGCAGGTGGTGGGAACAGGCTGAGTATTGGGTCACCTGCTGGCGGGAGGGGAGCCCCTGGAGGGCAGAGGCATGTGCTGCCATCAGCTCCACCCTCTCCACCTCTGCCCTCCCTGCCGCTCCTCACTGAGCACCCACCAGGCAGCAGAATGCAAGAGCTCTAAGGACGGCCCCCACCTGCGGAGTGGGGACGGACTCAGACTTACCTCAAGGCCTCTTTGGAGGATCAAACGAGCTCATCGATGCACACACTTAGAAATACCAACCACAGGGGCCATCAGGTGGCATGCTGGTTAAGGGCACTGGACTCCCACTGGCCAACCGTGGTTTGAGTCCCGGACCTGACAGCTTGCTTTCTCACTTTCCTTCTCTCTTTTTCTCTCTCTCTGTCCCTCTCTGGTCAAATTAAATTAAATAACAAATAAATCAAGTTTTTTAAAAAAGAAATGCCAACTACACCAAGTGCTCCAGAAAGGGAGCATCTGGCGTCCTCGCACCCCACCCTAAACCAGGAAAGACAGCACAAGCCTGCTCGAGCAGCTCAAGCCCAGTGCCTGGGAGTACAGGCGCCTCAGCAAGGACCACGTGCCTGGCAGGGAGCCAAGTGTCCCGGAGGGCAAGTGACCAGCAGGCCAGAGAGGGCCGGACACTCGTGCACGTGGGGTGTTGGGTAGATAGGCAGAGCCTGCTGCCCAGCACAGGGCACAGGGCAAGCAGGGCAAGGCCACAGGCAGCCAGGAAGGCAAATGGGGGCCTGCCTGGCTGGGAACTTACACAAGGCAATTCGAAACTGGATGTGTCTGAGATACCTTGAATCGGTCCGGGTTAAATTCTGCATTTTCAGGAGAAACGAGTTAGTCAGCCAAGCTGGGTTCGTTACAGAGACACAGGCGTCAGGACAGAGCTCACACCCAGCGTGTGTAACTGCGGTACTGGGAGCTCTGCTGGCAGCGGAGAACGGAAGGGTCAACTCGCTGACGCGTAGTTTGAAGAAAAAGGGACAATTCCCATCCCACCCGGAACGTGACTCAGGAAGACACTGGCTTTTGTGACGGCAGTCAGGAGGCGGCAATCCCAGGCAGAGGAGCAGGTTCTCCTGATCCCTAGTTTGAGGTCCCTCAGGCGGGGTCCTGGACCCCCTGTGAGCAACTCATCTGAGGCGCTGCGGGAAACCACAGCCCCCACGGGGCCCTCAGGGGAGCAACAGGTGGGAGCGTTTCAAGGCTGTGCTAGTTTTCTTCTCCCCATGTGTCTCCCTGTGCTGTGGCCAAACACTGATTTTCACCCTAAACCCCTCAAAACCTGGGCCCTTCCTTAAGACTTGCAGTCCCACCCCGACTCTGTTCTGTGCAGCGGTGGGAGCAGGTTTCTGTTTCCCGGGGCCATCAGTCGGGATGAGAGGGAGAGGAGCAGCAGTCCTGTGTCTTCAGGGTGAGCAACAGGCTTCAACGGGGCCGGCAGGTGGCATGATGGTTAAGATGCTCTCACATGGCTGACAGACAGCGGGGTTCGAGTCCCAGACCCAGTAACTTGAAAAAGACGCCAGGCGCGTATGTGTGCCCAAGACCCCAAGGGGAGAAGGGAGTGAGGCTTGATCTCTCTGTCCTGGGGACCATATATGCCCTATAGGAAATAAACTGAAGGGGAAAAAAGGCTTCAATATAAAAGCAAGCCTAGTTCTAATTTTTTTTTTTTTTTGGAGGGATTTTCGCTGTAGGGCGCGTGTGCTTGCCAGACAGACAGACAGAGACATAGAGACAGAAAGCGAGAAATCACCCCCCAGGGGGGATGGTCACGCCGCAATCCCTTCTCCTCCATTCTCCTCTCGGGATCTTGGGCACGCACGCACACGTGCCCGGCGTGAGTTTTAAGCCACCGGGTCCGGGACACGAACCGCGGTCGACTACGTGGGAGTCCAGCGACATAGCCATTATGCTAACTGCTGGTTCCCCCTAGTTCTAATTTTTAAGAAAGTTTTTGTTAAGCTTTAAGAAGAGGGTAACTTGTATTATGGAACTGGCTGATGTTTGGGTGCAATTTCTTGCTTTTACAGAATGTGATGAGAGACATTTAATGTCATAGAAACATGTTTTCTGTGTCCCCGCCTTGCAGGGACAGAAGCCCCCTCCAGCAGGTGGCTCCTTTGCTCCTTCTCAGCCACCAAACAGACCACATCTGATGTTTTGTTGGGACCGCGTTCACTGGCCGAGTGCCTGGGATCTGGGGCAAAAGACGGACTGCTTTCTGGACCTCCATACAGACCCGGATGTCAGCGGGTCGCCTCCGGCCACCTCCAGGACTGTAATAACCATTTTACTGACATGAGAAGAATTTGGGCCATTAAAGGCAGTCATTTGAAACTGATAAACTAATTTCAGGAAAAAACATATTCTATTTCTTCTAAGTGTCCTTCTAAAATGAGGAGACTGCAGAGCTCTCCCCAGCACGCGGAGATGCAGCGAGGGGGGCTGTCCGCGAGGAACTGACTCTCTCCAGACACCAAGCTGGCCAACGTCCTGCCCTTGGACTTCCGCCTCCAGAACGGGGAGAAAGGATGGCTCGTGTCTAAGCCACCGGTCAGTGGTGTTTCGTTACCAGTGCAAGCTGAGAAGCATGGCTTAGATATATTCTTCTGGGCCATTACTCCAACTGAAAAATGAGCATCTTACCATCCAAAATCATAAAGAGTTGATGCTAAGTGAAGAAAAATCCATAATAACTGGAAGAATTTTTTTTTGAAAGGTTTTTACTATAGGTTGCATGCATTCTTTAGAAAGACAGAGAGAGACAGAGAGAGACAGAGAGACAGAAAGCGAGAAATCACCCCCTCAGGGGGGATGGCCATGCTGCAATCCCTTCTCCTCCAGTCTCCTCTCGGGATCTTGGGCATGCACGCACACGCGCCCGACGTGAGTTTAAGCCACCAGGTCCAGGACTTGAACCATGGGAGTCCAGTGCCAGCCATTACGCCAACTGCTGGTCCCAGTAACTGGAAGAATTTGAACTTTCAGCTTGTACGCAAACAAGAGGGACACACTTTAACAACCCATTCATTTCTACTGTGCTTAATCCCTGTAGCTCCCAGCTCGCGTGGTGACCCTGCAGAGCGCATCCGCCTGGAAGTTCAGCCAGAACCCTGGGAAGCAAAGCCACCTGGATTCTCCTGGCACCGTGTACCTCTGTCCTGCTGTGGCGCCCGCCAGACCTGGGATCGGAGACACCATTTTGGGCCCAGTGTGCAGCTCCTTTGCGTCCCTCACTGATCTAAAGCCCCCGTTCTTTGCCTCTAACGCATACAAAGGTGGACCACACAGATCACAAAAGGAGGAAGTTAGCAGAGCAGAGTCCTCGCAGGTATGCGGGGACAATGCATGGCGCAGTGTTGCGTATTCCGAGTCCTAAGAAGAGCTGGAGAGGGTGGAATCCTTGGTGTGCCAAGCCTACAATGGGCAGGGCAGGCCCCGCAAGCCAGAAGGCCTGGGCAGGAACCCCGGCAGCTGCTCCTTCAGCTCCAGGGCCTCGGGGAGCCAGCCATCCTCAGAGCCTCAGCTCCCTCACCTGTGAAATGAAAGTCAGGACCTTTGTTTTTTCTGAGTTCAGACCGAGACTCTGTGGATGATGACACTGTTTGAAAACGAGGCGTGCCTGATGATTGTTGTTATCCCTTCCCTGGGGTCACCAGGTGGGTGTTTCCATCACAAAGGCAGGCCCGACAGACGGACATGGACCACATGTGTCTGTCCCACCAAGGCTGGTAGACCCCTGCTCCCTGAGCACAGACTCCCGGCGTGGGACAGTGTGGAGCTGCTTGGATGCAAAAGCGAGGAAAAACGAAACGACAGGGAGGGTGAGCAGTGTGTTTTCACTCTTATCGAAGAACAGAAACGGAAAATCATTTGGAAATGGCAGGAGGTTAACGGACTCATTTTACTCACTGGTATTTACCCTGCCTGGGGGGAAAAAAAGAGTACTTTTCTGAATGTTATGCCTGAAAATGAAACTAGTTCACAAAATTAAAACATGCAGAATCCAGTGCCAAAAACTGGTGATTTACAGAAATCACCCCAGTTTATTTTTTTCCAACAAAGAAAACACATGATACAACGATTCAGTGTTTGGGACATTGGCAAATACTGTCTGTATGACTCAGGCTCGTGTTCCCGGCTGTGAGCTCCGGGCAGCTTAGCAGGGCCCGCGACTCTACCCCCCATCCTAACAAAGTGGGGGGCCCACGCTGAGTGGGAACAGGACACCCCACCTCGGTACCCACAGGAAGAACGTCTTCGGGAAACAGCCAGCTCCTTAACGGAATGAAAGCACTCCTATCTGGTTGGTTTTGTTCATCTTGTTAAATTTGTGGTTTTGAAGTAAATTGACTTCGCTCTCAGGAAGGAGTCGTATTATTTACAGGTGAAAACAGACCACTGGCTGACACGCACCTCCCTCCGGGTCAGGCAGGTCCTATCCCCCTAAAACCTTCTTTCATGATTTTGTTATGGTTCAGAAAAGTAAAGAAAATGATTTCAAGTATTCAATTCCTATCAAAAATCGGTATCAAAAGTAATAAAGGACCTAATTTCTTTATAATTCCATGTTTTAAAAAATAACTTAAGAAGCAAGAGGTCCGGCCCTTTACTTGTATAAATACCACACGTGGCTAGAGTTTCTTAAGACACCGTGGGGACGAGTCCGTGTTTAGCACCTCGATCGTCGACCGCAACGTCGGAAACGTCTCTGATACTGACGGGAGCATCTTATAAGAGGGAGAAATACTGGAAAAGAAAACACAAAGAAGGGCCAGAAAAATTAACATCACTCCCCCCGCCCACCAAAAAAAAAAGGCAGCGCTACATTAAATCTGTTCCTACTGGGTATTCCTTTCCCGGCCTCCCACAGGTCCACCCTATCAGACTGTCGGGGAAGCCGGGAGGGCCCGAGCGTCCTGTGCCAGCTGCTGCTGCAGCCGCAGCCCTGGGGGAAACTGCCTGGACCCCGTGGGGCCAGCAGGCCGGGGGCAGAGCACACGGCTTTGGCCCAGCTTTCCTTCGCATTGGCTTTAGCCCCTTCTCCACGCTCCAGGACAGCGCAGGGTGCTCAGCCGCCAGGCCAACCCCGGGGAAGGACACAGCCGCCCGTGTCAAAGGCTGCTCGTTGTGCAACACCAACTGCACCGTGCAGTGTCTGTTATTCTTTCTTAAAGAACGGCGAAAGAGCCACACTGTGGAGTTACGGGGGAAATTGAAGCCAGATCTTTGAGCCATAGTCCTTTACCAGAACACGTGCAAGCTAGCTGAGCCAGACAAGAACGCCCCAGCCCAGGTGCAGCTGTTGGAAGTTTTCATCACAAAGCTGGCCGGATGCTTACGAATGGAGCCACGAGGCACACACACATAGTGATATAAAAACAAGTTTTGGGGGCAGGCAGGTGTCCTGGTGGTTAAGGGGCTACGGTTTGAGTCCCAGACCTGGCGGCTTGCTTTCTCTCTTT